TTATTTATATATATATATATATATATATATATATATAATTATTATTATTTTTTTTTTTTTATTTTTTTTTTCTCAATGATCGAAATACCAGTTCAGTGGCACTTTGCATTGTTAATGTAGCACTGTTGCAACAATTTTAACGTGCTGGGATGTTTCAGGCTGTTGCGATATAACAGTTTGTCCTACAAACCCACAGAGCTTGAACTGCTTTCAACAGTTCTGCATTGTTGGGTAATAGGGTTGTTTGGCAAATAGTGCCAGATTATCCCACCATTTGGTCTGCTTTTTGTGTGCATTTTGTCTGTTTCCTAACATTTTCCTACCATACTTTATTGTCAGGAATATGAAGAAGACGTGGATGTGGAACAGTTGGAGTCTGGTGAGCTTTCCAGCTCCAGCTCTGACTCGGGAGACTCTTACTTTGGTCTGAAGAGATCGCTGGAGTTTGAAAAGGAAGAGGTTCGAAAGAGCGAACGACTTTTCCTGCAGGAAGCTGGCTTGACCCCCTCGACTCAGCGACGGCCCAAACACGTGCCCACCCTAGCTCCCATACCACAGCCCTCTTACAAGAACCGTAGTGAGTTTGAGCAGATGACCATCCTGTATGACATCTGGAACACTGGCCTGGACCAGGAAGATATGAGGCTCCTGAAGAGCACCTACGAGAAACTGTTGCAAGTTGATCGCGGCACCGACTGGCTCAACGACACACACTGGGTCCCTCATACCAATATCCTTACAGCTGCCTAAGAATGAAAATGCAGTTTATACAAACAAACATGTGCTTTTATTAGTGATGCAGAAGCCAACAGAATTATCAATACCACAATACCAAATTTAAAGAGTCGGCAAGTATAAGTGCATACAAGTAAGAGAGTAAAAGGCTTCATTTACATATTGATGCTGCTTTCTAAGTACATTTTTCCCAAGTTTTACTCCCTTGACCTCTTGCCTGCACTCACCAACATCCCCAACCCTCGGCGGAAGAAGAAGACCGCAGATGGGCAGCTAAGAGAGCATGTCACGGGCTGTGCTCGTAGTGAAGGCTACTATGCCATCAGCCGCAAGGAGAAAGACGTCTACCTTGAGCTAGACCAGCCAGTGACTGTGCAGGAAGCTGGGGAATATGACACCTCAGTAGGTTCAGTTTAAGTTTTAATAACTCAAATGTGTGTTTTGAGACTTGTTTGTTTTTGTTTTTTTGTGAAGATGTCAGATTTAAATGCACATACTGTAGTGGTGTTACTGAAATTAATTACTTTGTTTAGCATGAACATGGCAGACAGTTTGGGTCAGTAGTTTGCATCCACCTGAGCATCTCTCTCTGTCTGTGTCTGTCATAGGGCTCGAATCGTCTGCTCTCTGAAAGGCGCTCTGAGCAGCGGCGTCTCCTCAGCGCTATCGGCACTCCAGCAGTGATGGACTCAGACCTGTTGAAACTGAACCAGCTGAAGGTAAAGTTCTTCAGTTCATTGACACAACCGTGACCTTGATCATACTATCAGCACTTTTATTACATTGACCTCACCACTCCTTCAATTCCATGAAATCCCTTCAGCTTGTTTTCAGTGTAGTAATTCATAGAATTCCGTTCAGTGTTTGAACACTGGCATCCGTGGGCACAATGACCAGCAGGTCATTCTCTCTCTCTATATATATATTATAATTTGTTATAGGATATAAGATGAGGGGAACCGACCTACCAGAATGTTAATTCTCCTCTGTCAATGACCCTGGCTGGCTGAGCCTTATCAGGTTCTGGCTATTGATAGGGTTTGATAAGATCTTTGAGATTGAGTTCATGTGTTCAAAGTTAAATGGTGTTCCTTTAAAAACAGTTCTTCTTTGGACCTCCTTAATTGCATGTTCTTTGAGTAAAGAATGAATGAATGCACTCCATATGTTTGTTATTTATATATATATATATATATATATATATATATAATTATTATTATTTTTTTTTTTTTATTTTTTTTTTCTCAATGATCGAAATACCAGTTCAGTGGCACTTTGCATTGTTAATGTAGCACTGTTGCAACAATTTTACCACGCTGGAATGTTTCAGGCTGTTGCGATATAACAGTTTGTCCTGCAAACCCACAGAACTTGAACTGCTTTCAACAGTTCTGCATTGTTGGGTAATAGGGTTGTTTGGCAAATAGTGCCAGATTATCCCACCATTTGGTCTGCTTTTTGTGTGCATTTTGTCTGTTTCCTAACATTTTCCTACCATACTTTATTGTCAGGAATATGAAGAAGACGTGGATGTGGAACAGTTGGAGTCTGGTGAGCTTTCCAGCTCCAGCTCTGACTCGGGAGACTCTTACTTTGGTCTGAAGAGATCGCTGGAGTTTGAAAAGGAAGAGGTTCGAAAGAGCGAACGACTTTTCCTGCAGGAAGCTGGCTTGACCCCCTCGACTCAGCGACGGCCCAAACACGTGCCCACCCTAGCTCCCATACCACAGCCCTCTTACAAGAACCGTAGCGAGTTTGAGCAGATGACCATCCTGTATGACATCTGGAACACTGGCCTGGACCAGGAAGATATGAGGCTCCTGAAGAGCACCTACGAGAAACTGTTGCAAGTTGATCGCGGCACCGACTGGCTCAACGACACACACTGGGTCCCTCATACCAATATCCTTACAGCTGCCTAAGAATGAAAATGCAGTTTATACAAACAAACATGTGCTTTTATTAGTGATGCAGAAGCCAACAGAATTATCAATACCACAATACCAAATTTAAAGAGTCGGCAAGTATAAGTGCATACAAGTAAGAGAGTAAAAGGCTTCATTTACATATTGATGCTGCTTTCTAAGTACATTTTTCCCAAGTTTTACTCCCTTGACCTCTTGCCTGCACTCACCAACATCCCCAACCCTCGGCGGAAGAAGAAGACCGCAGATGGGCAGCTAAGAGAGCATGTCACGGGCTGTGCTCGTAGTGAAGGCTACTATGCCATCAGCCGCAAGGAGAAAGACGTCTACCTTGAGCTAGACCAGCCAGTGACTGTGCAGGAAGCTGGGGAATATGACACCTCAGTAGGTTCAGTTTAAGTTTTAATAACTCAAATGTGTGTTTTGAGACTTGTTTGTTTTTGTTTTTTTGTGAAGATGTCAGATTTAAATGCACATACTGTAGTGGTGTTACTGAAATTAATTACTTTGTTTAGCATGAACATGGCAGACAGTTTGGGTCAGTAGTTTGCATCCACCTGAGCATCTCTCTCTGTCTGTGTCTGTCATAGGGCTCGAATCGTCTGCTCTCTGAAAGGCGCTCTGAGCAGCGGCGTCTCCTCAGCGCTATCGGCACTCCAGCAGTGATGGACTCAGACCTGTTGAAACTGAACCAGCTGAAGGTAAAGTTCTTCAGTTCATTGACACAACCGTGACCTTGATCATACTATCAGCACTTTTATTACATTGACCTCACCACTCCTTCAATTCCATGAAATCCCTTCAGCTTGTTTTCAGTGTAGTAATTCATAGAATTCCGTTCAGTGTTTGAACACTGGCATCCGTGGGCACAATGACCAGCAGGTCATTCTCTCTCTCTATATATATATTATAATTTGTTATAGGATATAAGATGAGGGGAACCGACCTACCAGAATGTTAATTCTCCTCTGTCAATGACCCTGGCTGGCTGAGCCTTATCAGGTTCTGGCTATTGATAGGGTTTGATAAGATCTTTGAGATTGAGTTCATGTGTTCAAAGTTAAATGGTGTTCCTTTAAAAACAGTTCTTCTTTGGACCTCCTTAATTGCATGTTCTTTGAGTAAAGAATGAATGAATGCACTCCATATGTTTGGAAAGGGCAGACATATGTCTGGCTGGTTTATTATACATTATATGTTTATTATATGTTATTTTTCACTTTAAAGCCAGATTTTAAGAGACCGTTATAAGACAGATTTCTAAGACCGTTATAATCTGTGTGTTTGGAGCGGTTACTAGGGAGGAATTGTTTAAACTGTCTGTTTTGGAAAAATGTGTATAGATCAAAGTTTAGATGGTTAGTTATGCTCTATCCTGGGGATTTCTTGTGTTAATCAGTGTTTAGTCTGTTATCACACATGTCTTTCCAGTAAAATCAGTCAGTAAGATTTTTTTCTTAAATTTGATTCACCAAGGAATAGGGCTGGACGATATGGTCAACATTTATATCACGATATATTTCTTAATTTCGGTCGATACGATATAATTCTGATATCGATATGAACACTATTAAAAAAAGCCTCATAAAAACTGCCAAGAACACCTACAACAGATGGCTGTACTTACAAACTTATGAAAAATTTATTTGCAAGTCTATTAAACCTCTTTTTAGAAAAAAAAACTGCACAAATAAATTAATGTTCACCTTTTATTTGTATTTAGCCTTCATACAAACAAGAAATGTGAAATCACTGTCAAATAAACATCTCAGACTCACCTTTCTAATTATTAATATATTTATCTTCAAACTATAGGCTAACATACCAGTCAAAAGTTTTTGAACAGTAAGAATTGTACTTTTTTTTTTTAAAGAATTCTCTTCTGCTCACCAAGCCTGCATTTATTTGATCCAAAATACAGCAAAAACAGTAACATTTTGAAATATTTTTACTATTTAAAATAATTTGGAAATATTTTAAAATGTAATTTAATCCTGTGATTTCAAAGCTGAATTTTTAGCATCATTACTCCAGTCACATGATCCTTCAGAAATCATTCTAATATTTTGATTTGCTGCTCAGAAAACATTTATTATTATGTTGAAAACAGCGTAGAATTGTTTCAGGTTTCTTTGATGAACAGAAGGTTCAGAAGAACAGCATTTATCTGAAATAGAAATATTTTGTAACATTATAAATGTCTTTATCATCACTTTTGATCAATTTAAAACATCCTTGCTA